TCTGTCAATTGAAACCATTCATCAATTCTGTGATATTTTCTATTGAATTAAAATATTAATTGGAAATTAATCCAAGTTGTGTGAAATTCATTCGAAAAAGGAGTCACAAATTGTAAATTGTAAAGAGGAATGAAAATATCACATAAAAGTCTATTACTGAGAATTGCACAATAATCAATTTTTGTTCCATTAAATAACTCACAATAGAAGCCGTAGAATGAGAGAAAAATTCACGTAGCTCAAAAAGGCTTTGGAAAAAGTCGTTTCGGTGTCCGATAATTTTGAAATCAACTTACGTCTTTCATTTGTTGCTCTCAGAATGAACGATTAATACTCCGGTTGCCTTTCCGCAATCGCTCAATTCGACAAATTGTTCGTTGTGTACTGTAGCACTGTGCTCACGACTACTCGCTGTCAGGATTCAATTGAAACTGTTGAAAATTGGTATAGGCTGCCTTGGTTTTGTACTTCCGTTATCGAACCGTAATCTCGGGACCGTAATTCATTCACGTGAAGTAATTAAAAATAACTGTATGTGTCGGTTAGTTAATCGTATTGGCTCTTCATGAAATTCTCTTTTCCGAATGATCGTACTAAAACGGGAACCACTAATCAGCCACTAATTACTTATGGAATTTCTGCCGTTGGTGCGTATAAATCGAGCAAAATGCGCATTATCGACGTGATTAAACACAACATTGCAAATTGATGACTTTTTTCCTTCTTCTTACTTTTCTTCTCCTTCTTCTTCTTCGCGGCGATACATTGCCCTCTGATTTTGTAGCTACAGACTATTGAATGAGTGTTATCAGCTATGACAAGAAGAAAAAAAATCACTGTCTACGACTTCGTGCTCGTACAATTTCTTCGAATTTAATTGGGCATTCGGAGGAAAGTGATATGCAAAAAAAAAACGGTAATGATGGGCTGGCTGTATGGTGACGCCAGGAAAAAAAATCCAAATTCATCGCAAATAGTGTTGATCATCACATTGAAATGTGCTTTCGATAAGGATACAACGGTCAACATTTTTGCCATTAAGTTGTTGTTGTGTCGGTGATTCGTTTTTTATGCGTTAGACAAAAAAACAAATCGCCTTTAGTGCTGATAGCTTAACAATTAAAAGCACTTTTAAAAAAAGAGCACGCATGAGAATGTCAATGATGAAAAAATGTGTAGTTTTGGTTTCAAAGTTCAAACTGGTGTGATTGCGACGGAATGAGCGCGCGTCTCATTTCATAAATAAAATCAATATATATCATGCATTGCCCATTGAAGAAGTTCAAGTGTACTAGAGAGTCTCAGCACATTTTTTCATTGAGTTGCGTCATATCCAATAAATGTGCGATTCTTGCACGCGAGTTTTTTTTTCACTCCCTTTAGTGGGTTAGACACAGAACAGTTTTTGTCACGTCATCAATTTTATAAGGTTTTTTTCATTTGCTTTCTTTCTCAAATTGTTTTATTTAGGTCGATATGTCGGAAGTCGTCCAATCAAATTGCGTAAGAGTACTTGGCGGGCAAGAAGCTTTGAAGTGGTGAAACGGAAGGAAAAGGAAAAGGCACAACTTTTACAAATGTTTAACAAATAAACAAGATCAAAGTCCTGTTGGAGCGGAAGATAATCATTTTTTGTGCGGCGATGGAACATTCGATTCATTTTGGAATATTGTATAAATTCAAATTGATTTGAGTGTTTTGGATTTTAGCTGAAAAAAAAATTGTGCTTACCTTTGAATCAAAAATCTAGAATAAAAAAAAACTCATTTTGGTAAAGAAACAGAATTATCTTTTTATTGTATTATTTGAAAATCTTTTTTTTTCTTCATTTATTTTTCCTAATGTATCAGTAATTAAAATTCTCGTGGAATTCCATAAATGGACATTATTGGAATTCTGGAAAAGGCTGCGACTGGAAACCGGGTTTAACATATAAACTTTGGTATTGGATGAAATCAAATAACTAAATGCTAGTATTCATAGAAATATTTAGCCAGAGGATATCGTATCACAAAAGCAACGAGTGTACAAAGAACTTGTACGACAAGTAAGTAATGGGTTAATCTTTGTTCGTGCTGTGGCCCGAATACGACCAAAAGGAAGTTGATCAATGTGAAATTATTTGTGATAACAACACCATCCTTGTCGCTTTCACTCCATTCGATGATGCGTATCAATCGAAAGATTGAGACACATAGACGGCCGAAAATGTTCAAATCTTTGTAGTGAAATTGCGTTTTACTTGGTTCCAATCGATCAGTAGTTGCATTGTATTTGGGCATACGATGTCGCGGACAAGGCACAAAATGGAACAATTGCGGAATCGAATACAAAAAATTTATGATTTGTGGTATGAAAAACAGCAGCAGCGTCTTGCTGAAATGACCCAATATGCCGACTACAGCGAATGTCATACCAGACAGATAACAGAATGTATCGCCAACAAAGACACGGGCTGGATATCTGTAACGAAAATAAAAACAATGTTAATGAAACTATCGATTAATAATCGATTTTAATTCTATGTAATGCAAAATAAGACAGACAACAAAGAGATTTGATTTCGAATATTTCTTTTTTTTGTTTGTGGTAATGCCTTTATTCAGTTAATTGCTTATTTATAAATCGGCCAGTTGCGCGCGTTCATATTCATACTTTCATACATAGCAAAATAAAATGAATAATACTCAATGAAGATAACTGCTTTCAAAAATAGAGACTTTTTCTTTGTAGTTGCTTTTTTTGTATTGAACCAGCAGTGGCATCCAGGTTTTTCCATTTTCTCTCACTCTCTCTTGGTGCACTGAGGTTATCTAACAATATTCTCCAATCAAGAATATTACATTTACTGTTGATGAAACACCATAATACATCATGCCAATTAAAATTTTGGTTCAATGCTTGATAATGACAAATGGTCGAGTTAAATGATTGATTAAAACAAACCCTGTTTCAAAGCTTACTACTACAAACAAATTGAATATTGCGAGAGAAAAAAATGAATTAGATACAATTTCAGTGGAAGTGTTTGTGTTGACAAATACTGTTTGCATTACATTACACCGGAGAAGAGATTCATTAAATGCTATCACAGATAAAATTCGGAACAAATTTACAAACGAAACAACCAAATTTCAACTGAATTTCGTTCACTCTCAAAAGCTAAAACTAACTAAGTCATTTTTCATTTGAATTACATCAATAATTGTGTCTATATATGTGTATTTTATACATGATAATTAGTAGTTGAATCGATTTTCGTTTCTTCCCTAATAAATCGGGAAGATAAGTTAATTAAATTTTGTTTTTAGTTTGGCTATTCATCGACATCGCCGTCGTAATGCGCATACGTATTCGTGAGCAAGGATTCATACTTCCAAGCCTCCTTTGTTAGTGCATCCGGTGCATAATATTTGTCCGAATATCGATGCAAGCGAATCAGTTCAAGTTTCCCGTCAACGTAGACTCCAGCTGATATCAGTGATTCAATGTGTGGTGCATCAATGTGATTGGGGGGTCGTTGTTGGTGTACGTCACCATTATCCAAACGATTTGTAAAAAGTGGCGAAAAAACGGGTGAACTGGCGTTCATCGTACGATCACGTTGCACTTTTTGTGCGATATTCTCGCTCGATTCGTAGCAATATTGACAGAACCATCCGCCATAATGATTCAGATCGCCGATAATCATGCCCGTTGTGCTCGTATTTAGCAATGCCGTGGGGTCTTTCTTATAGAGTTCGTCGAGTACGTGTAATTGACATGCAGCACTACTAAGAACCGTTTGCACGGGATGCTGCCAATAGAAACCGTATACTGTGTATTTGAGTCGAAAACGAAGCGGTTGCGATTGCGACCAATTGCTATTCCATTTAATGTACTGAATGGCTTGACGATTCAGTATCTCATCGTATGAACTGTACAAATAGATTTCGTCGCCCTGCACCAAGTCGCTCAGTTGATTGCGAAACATTTTGTAGGTAGCTTTTGGTGTGCATCGATGCCTCGTTTCTACTATTAGAATTTTTGCTTTAAGTTTTTTCAAAAAGAAATTCGAACTATGCTCGCTGGACTGCTGATGATAACGGAAGCGTTCATGTTTCGGTGATATAGCATGCACAGCGTTCGTTGCATTCCGGATTTCATCGCAGAATATGAATAAATCAACTAAATCTTGTAATTCTTTCACTTGAATTTCGACCGTTGTTAGACTTAGCGTCGTTGAATCGATGTGATAGAAAATGCGTCGCGGTTTTGGCTCGCTTTCATCATTAAGTAAATTCACTTTTTCATCGTCGAATTTTTTCGGTAGATGTGCCGTCCAAAATGCACGCCACACAACTTCGGGCTGGCTACAATCACGGCCGTGGTAACCAGCTTGACATTTACACGTACAATCCTCATCCTCGTCGAATGAATCACTCATTTGGCGCAGATGTGCTGACACGGGCATCACACTGCTGTTTCGGAAGCAAAATAGCGTATCGCTGGTGAAATTGGCCGGTTTACCACTGCGACATTCAAAGTATGCATCTTTGAATGTTTCGAGCGATGGAAGCACAATTTTATTGGCTAATGCAGCTGTTGGGATGATGGCAGCGGCAGCAGCTGCTGCCATTTCAACGCCTTCATTTGGCAACGATATGTCATTTTTCAGAAATTTCACTACTCTCTGTATTTTCGGATTGGGCAGGTTATTCGATCGATATGCTTGCAATGAGTCATCATCAATGTCATCGGACAGACTATTTGAATTATTTCCAAACAAAACAAATCCGATTAACAGCAACTGAATTGAGAACAATGTCCATAGAATTAGAAACTTTTCTCGTCGTCGAGTCGATTTCCAGCATTGAAAATGCATTTTGACTAATTTCGTTTTTCACACAGTCTCACACCCCAAAAAAAAAATTGTTCTTTTTTTTCTTTTTGCTCAGTCTTTACATAGTAAGTGTTTTTGTTGTTGTTGTTGCAAGAATTCTTTTATACTATCGAATGAAGCCTTTGAAATTTCGTTTAAACATTCTCATCGTTGAATATTCGATTACGAATCACTTGGATTTTTGTTGGAAATTTTCGTTTTGGTTTGTTCGTTCTTTTTTTCTTTCTCTAGATGGTTAAAATGCCATCGCCCACCGAATTTTCACTAAAGAATAACTCTATGTGCTGTATACTCTTCTCCAGAACTGTGTATTACGCTTGACATTTCGAATGTTTGACAGTTTAGAGGTGAATTTCCCTAGATGTTATCGCTCAATATCTACCACTCACAACCGTACACGCAGTCACAACACAAAACAAACATATCAAATATTTCTACGGATTTTTTCCCTACTTTCAAATGATGCAATGAATTTACTTACTTATTAAACATGAAGAGAGCCAGAGATGTGGCAAAATATGGGACAATGATGTACAATGAAAATGCATGTTCCATTCGGGTGTTTGAATCGTGTGTCATTTCAATCATGTTGAATACAATGATCGATGCGGCGATAATCAGTGATTGTCCTGCCTCGAGCCCGTTTATTCCGGCTAAGATATTGATTGCATTTGTACAAAATACTGCCAACATTCCCATGTAAATATAGTAAAGAATTCCTATCGAAAATCAAAGCAAACAAACAAACAAACGGTTTCAGTTTAAAGTTCACATTGCGAACAGTCTCAAATATTCCTAATCATACCGATGTCAATCGATGACCCGAGCACATTTCGTACAAAAATAGGCAGAATGATTGTTGTTCGGTTGAAATTCACGTAGTACACCATAAGCAATGGCAATGATGCAATCGTTGGCAGCAATAACTTATGGCGCCATCGCAAATTCAAAACATCATCAGCAAATCCCAACAGGATCATGCAACAAATCGACAACAGTGCCGATATCAATTCGATTAGCTGCAATTAAATCGAATGATTTTGTAAAAAAAAATTAAATCGAGAGAGAAATTCCAATTAATTGTTGCAAAATGTGATAAGATGATGGCTGAGCCACTCTGCAGACACAGTTGTCCGTACCTGATTGTGTGGAAATTCATTGACTTGCTTCTCGTTGAACACGAATGGCACTGGTATAAATAGAAATAAGGCTATCAAAAACATGCAGCCGGTCACTACACCCATCGCCTCTGGTCTAGAAATCGAAGCAATAAAACACACATTGTATTAATTTCTACATTGTCATTGATTACTTACTGTGGATCAGCTGCAGTATACAATGTGGACAAAACATCACTCACATTTTGGGCTTGTTTCGCTTGCACAAATCATTGCCGAATAAATTGGCGGCAATGAACATGTCCCGTAGGCTCGGTATCAATTGCTTTGTTATTAAGAAAGCGCACGCGGATATTGCGCAATTTATCAACAGTGAAACACTCATGAAATTTTGCATCTTTTCACCCGGTTCAATGAATACAGCACAACAACAGTAGAATAATTTCGTGGAATCACATCAGTATTTGGTTTTTATCATCATTTCTCTGACACATGCGATCGTGGAATGAAATTGTCACCAGTGGCCGCAAATTAAGCAACAGACAGAGAATGACGTATGGTGAATTTCATCATACGTTGTCTTCTGGCATTAGCGAAGCTCTTCAATTGTGAAATCATTCATTAATAAAATTATTCTCCAAATTTTTTGGTACCTCAAGTTGAATTTAAAGACTTCAATTTGAAAGAAAATAGAAACAAATGAAAATTATTTTGGAATTTTTACAATTAAACAACGCATTTTAACTTGCCGCTTTGTATCGTCAAAACTTTGGCTCAATGCCACCAGAGTGCATTGCTATTAGTTAGTTTACGGTTTGAAACGCGACGTTTTGCGTTCAAACTCACCATTGCATTTATGTCAAAGCGTTTTCGGGAAAGCTTCTCGTTTTGTGTATTGATGTAATGCTTCATGAAAGAACAGAATTATTTCTTGTAGAACGTCGTCGACCAAACGAAGTGACTCGAAATTGACTAAAAACACAGACCAGAGTGTGCAAAAAGTTAATAACCAATTTGTGTAGCAAATAGTGTGGCAATATTTTCCGAATAAAGTGTGTAAAAAAATTTGAGTAAAAAAATCGATTACGGATCGGATTGGGATTCGTGTTAAATTGTGAAATGGAAACGACGAAATCGAAGTAGATGTGCCGATGGAAAAAATATCCTTGCTTATTCACCAATAAATTTCCAACTTATAAAAGGATGTAGATTTCGTTTTTTTTTTCATCACTATTTTCAATGGTGAGACTATTTTTTCTGTTTTTTTTTATTCGCAATTTTTTCTCGACCATATGAAAATTGCATCGTTCGATCTAACATTTTGTCGCTTGAGTCATAATTATTGCTGGTGTTTCGTGCGTATGTATGAATGTGTGTGTGTGTGTGCATTGTTGATTAAAAAATTACGTTTTCTTTTCGGTATAATAAAAAAAGGCAACGATGGGTTCGCAAAGAGTCTCGTCTGTTTGGTGCTTCATTCGCGTTGGCTTGTGTGCGCGATGTTTGATTGTTCACATATATTAAAACGTACGTGTACAGGCTGGCTGCTGCTACTACTATTATTGTTGTTGTTCTGTGTGTGTTCGCTCTTTATATGCGTTCACTTTTTCATTGTCGTTCCAACAAGCGACGGGGTTCGGTGTGTGAACTCTCCGGCGTATGTGTTGCTCTGTCGAGTGCTGGTCGATTTTTTTCCTGATATGTATATATATATATACATATATCGTTGTTTTTCCCAATGAAGAATGTTTATAATTTTGTGCACACACTATTCTTTCTTCGGTGCAATTTGCCGTGTGCATTCTCGCCTGTATGTATCGATAGCATCTTCTTATATTTATTGAAAGAGAAAAAAAAAACACACAAGTAAAAATACGAAACCTCCACACACACGCGGAAAAGATGTAGAAGAGAAGAAAAAAAAACACAACAGACATTCTCTGTGTGTCTGATCATAGGCTTTCGGTTTCACTGTGTGTTAATTCCTTTCAGTTGTTTTCTCTCTCACCTTTCGTTCTTTTCGAGATGGAATAGCTGAACGTTCACTTAAAGCATGTCGTCCATCGATTTTCTTGAGTTCAACTGATTTTAAATCGGAAAGAGGACCAAAAACTAAGAAGAAGACTAAACAGCAAAAAAATAAATAAATTGTTTTTTGTTGTTTCAAATGCAAAATGAAATTCTCGAAACAAATGAAGGCCAAAAAGATCGTTTCGGAAATATGCAGAGCTCTAGAAAAAACAACATGACCAATGGTCAATCATATTGTCTCGCCGACTACCTGCGGACTGTTCATTTTAAAACATGCAAATATTTGGACAAAGATTTTCTGCAACCTTTTCCCTTTACCTCTTCGCACCACTTATTTCTCTATATATCATTTGTCTCTTTGTATGGTTTTCTGTCATATATGCATATTTCCTTTCTAAATTCGCAATTTAAATTCTATTTTCAGATTGTTCAAAGTTATGCGACAGTTCAGTCTGCGACTATTCGCTTCGTTGTAATGTGACACGAAAAATCGATACGTTGATAAGAAAATACAGAGAGGGAACGAGAAAATACTCACACCACACGGAAATAGGTGAGCAGCAGTGTTCATTGGAGACGTGTTCACTTCATGACCGTTCGCGAAACGGGGTGGACAGAAAACGGATAGATAGAGAACGAGAGCTAGAACAATATTGACGCGGTAAACACGATGAATCCAGCTGATTTTGGTATGTTTTGGATGAATCAATATGCGCAAGCACAAGAGCGTATGATCATTGACGACAGTACAAGCTATTACACACAACCGACGATTGGAATGTCCGTAATGGATGATATTGGCCATCAAGCAAACACAATGGTAAGCATTCAAAACAAGCGATAAAAAATCACGCTATCAAATACAAATTCTTAAGCAGTCTGAGACAGTTTTGTATATAAGCACGAACACAAATGCACACATAGAAAATTCCTAAATGGAATTCGGTTGAGGGATTGTCAAATTAAATCAAAGAATCCGGTCAAATTCACTATTCACATTTTAGATGCATCTCACTAAGCAAAAAAACGAAACAAAATCTATTCAGCTTTCTTTTTATACGCACACATTTTTTTTTGCATTTGGATTCTGAGTTTTAAAATCAAGACATGAGCTGTAAATATGCATTCACTTATATAATAGTTATAAACAACAACAGCAACAACGCCACTTACTTCTTCCATTAATCTTTGTGGTATGTTTTATATGGCATTGTGGTTTCACTAATAAAATGGCAAAAAATTCAATGGCTTACCAATTTGATGGTGAAAAAATGAATCGATTTTTGAATGACACACACACACACACACACACCCATAAAGTCAAGAAATTTCTTCAATCCCATCAAACTGGAAAGTGCATTAAATTTTTTGCGTTGTACAAATCTATGTGAATATCGATTTCTTAACCCTTTTACCATTTCGCTCATGCACATTTTGTTTTCATTTTATAATTCATTTACGTTTGCCGAGAGTGCCATTTTTTCCAAATTCCATTTAATAAGTTCGTTCACATCCATCCAATCGAAAGGTTGAACGAAACCAAAAGAAAAAAAAAACAACAACAAAGCAAGATTTGAGCGCTGCTACTGCCAAAGTAGTGTTAGTTATGACATTAAGAAATCAAAACAACAATTTTGAATATAAAAACAACCACCATCGATATAACACAAGCTAACCCATATATCTTCATGTTACTTTTGCCGGTTCTGCGCTGTGAATTTGAAAATCGGTAAACAAACAAATAAACACACACACAAAAAAATAATCAATGAACATCGTGCCGTTATCATAAAACAAACCACATCATGTACAGGACATGAATCCACTTGGATTGATAAATAACGAGCTAACAGCTGCAACGGCATCAGGTGCGATGCCACTGACACCTGAACTATTTGGCGGTCTACCGCGAAGTTTAGCTGTAGCCGGCCTGAATCAACAGCACTATCACGACGATGCACATCAAACAATACTCGATCACTATGGAACGATATCGGACCAAACGATTGTTAAGTGCCCGATCAATCAGCTAGTGGCGGCCACGACATCGGTAAATGTTGGCACCGGAACCGAACACTACGAAGACGAAGACGATGAAGAGCCAGAGCAACGACTTTTAAATGCAAACCAATTTGCCAATCAATTTGTTAATCAATTTACCACGCATGACGATGAGAACAGCGTTGACAACGATTACGAAGGTGACGAAGGTGTCGATGACATTGATGAATACAATGGTGGCACCGATTCAAATAACAGCAATAGCGTCGGTTTCAGCACACTGCACGGCGAATCGTCGTCATCGTCGTTGCACGGCAACACCATTACGGGAAACATACCGTTCCGTCGACGAACCAGAGGAACACAAACGAGTCGCAAAATAAAACCAGTTAAACGACCTGGCTTAGTGCTAAAAACACCAATTGCATATCAGCCTTGCTTAGATCCTTCTGTTATTCCAATCCAAAAAGACGGCATGGGTACGTTTGTTTTGTTTTTAATTTTTGTTCTATTGTTTTTCCGTTTCACTCTCTTTCTCTCTCTCTCTCTATCTCTCTCTGTCACTTTTCTCTTTTGTTTTAGGTTTATGACTTTTGTTTTACGATTGTTTTAATTTTCCCATTTTTATTGCCTGCGCGCATATTATTCTCTGTGTGCTTTTCCGTTTTATTTCTGTTTTGTTTTTCATTCTATTTCATTCTTGTATATGCTTCATTTTTTCCAAGTTATTTTGTGTGCTTTGATTGAATCGGTTTGGTTTGGTTTGGTTTGATTTGGTTGGTTTGGTTTCAATGTGTCTGCCTGGTTTGTTGACTTTGATTTGCGAGCGCACACGTGCATGTACACCATTGGATCGATGCTCCGATGTTTGTTTTTTTCGGTTTTATCTACTTTTGTAAATAGAGAGATAGGCAATGAAGGCACCAAACGACCACCCTTATGTAAAACATTCAAACTGGATCAAGTCATTATTCTGTTTGTGATTTATTGTACTTCCGTTTGATTTGATTTTGCAAATGAATGCTTTCGATTTTTGTTGTTGAATGAATGAAAATCGGAAGAGCACAGATTATGAATTCATGTGTAGCGCGCAACGATTCGCTTGACAAAACAGTTGATTCGACTGAGAAATAATTTTTTTGGAACACATTTCAAAATTCCGCAAATATACAACGAAATTCGTACTTATTCTAAATTTTAAGAATTTATCACATACAAAAACACAGTTTTTTTCTCTAAACATCCACTCAACATCACATTTTAAACCAATGAATCATAACAATTTCCATTTAATACAATCATTTCTCCCTTTAAACGATTAATCTCCTCCTGTATTTCATTTAATGCTAAAAAGTCAAACTTAACCACATCATCAATATAACATGCTGCACGAAACAAGCAAACACATGCACACTTTACAGAAAATATACATACATGCACATGTAGTAAAATCATAAACAAAAATTAAATAATGTAAAGCGCAAGCAAGAATCCTAGTCGAAAATGGTATTTAGTTAGTAAGGATTGAAATTCATGACTGTTTTTGGCTGGCGTTTGAATATTTCTCGTTGTTTTTAGTGTTGAGAAGACAGGCGATTGTATGTGTGTGTGTGTGTATGTCGTTCATTGTAATATTAATGAATTTTTATTGTGTATTGTTTCAGCGGTTTGTGAGCGTTGCGGTGCCATTGGTGTGAAACATTCATTTTACACAAAGGAACGTCGCTTTTGCAGCATGAATTGTGCCCGAAGTGACTTTGTTATGATGCAAACGCAAGTAAAGGACGTACTAAAGGATAACGATATCAAACCATACACATTATATGCGAACAGATCACACTCGGTTGATTCGACGACAACAGCAGCAGCAGCAGCACCGGCGACAACTACAAATACGAATAATAAAAATCCAACGATGAGCGAATTACAGCAAGATATATCAACGGGATCGAATAGCCCGATCGATCTCGAGTCTCATCTGAAGGGAACACAATGCAAAATACCAAATTATCGATTCAAACTAACGATGAACGGTGACGATAAGACATCCAATTCAAATGGAAACAATGGTAACCATTCCCTGTTCGACGGCATGAGTGTCGACGATTTGGGCAATGTACAGTACCGTGATATTATGTTCGAAGAGGAAATACCACAAATACCAAAAGGATCAAATCTACCGGCAATGTGTCCGCAAGACGAGAAAATTATTACCGTACGACGAAAACCATCTGAATTTCTAAACAGCTACGACTGGATACCACAATTATCGAATCCGAATTTCTTTGCCGCACCAGTTTCATGCTTTTCTCATGCGCCCGGCCACGATGTGTGGTCTATGGTAAATGTGGGCATGAAAGTGGAAGTGGAGAATACTGACTGTGATACACCTGAATTGAAGCAAGGAATGTCGCCGCACTCATTCTGGGTGGCAACCGTGCTTCGATTGTGCGGCTACAAGGCGCTATTGCGATACGAAGGATTCGACGATAATAATTCGCATGATTTCTGGGTGAATTTATGCTCATCGGAAGTGCATTCGGTGGGATGGTGTGCCGAACGTGGCAAACCATTGATTCCACCGCGTTCGATTGAAAACAAATACAGTTGGCGAAAGTATTTGGAAGAAACACTCACAAATGCACTAACGTTGCCGACAACATTTTACAATAAAATTAACGAAAGTTCGAAATCACGTTTCCGTGTTGGCCTTCAATTGGAAGTTGTTAACAAGAATCGTATCTCGGAAATGCGATTGGGTAGAGTGAATAAAATCGTCGGCAAACGGTTACTTGTGAAGTATTTTGATGCGCCAAAAGATGACGATGGTTTTTGGGTGCACGAAGATTCGCCGCTGATCCATCCGGTCGGATGGTCGTCTGATGTAGGACACGAATTGAAAGCGCCACCAGAGTATGAGCAACGGTTGAAGAAAATACGAGATCAATCGTTGGAAATGCATGAAGATGACGCCAAACTGGATCTATTCAAAATGAACTTTTCGTTCAAAGAATACCTCCACGAAAGTAGTAAGAGCAAATTCAGAGATGGAATGAAATTGGAAGCGGTTGATCCGCTCAATTTATCATCGATTTGCGTTTCGACCGTTGTGAAAGTCCTCAAATTTGGCTACATGATGATCCGCATTGATTCTTATGATCCAGACGCACAAGGAAATGACCTGTGAGTTTCAACCGTATACATAATTTAGACAAAACAAATTTCTTATAAATTCTAATTTGATCTTTTTTCCCTTACAGATTTTGCTATCACGAAAGGGCTGCGTGCATTTTCCCAGCTGGTTTCTGCCATCGTAACAGCATCGAGCTAACACCACCAAAAGGATACGACAGAAAGACATTCTCATGGCAGCAATATTTAGCTGACACGGGCAGCATAGCGGCAGATGATTCGCTATTTTGTTTGGAAGTGCCAGAGCATGGATTCAAAGAGAGTATGAAAATTGAGTGTGCCGATTTGATGGATCCACGACTTGTATGTGTAGCGACCATTGTGCGAATTGTTGGCCGTGTGGTTCGTGTGCATTTCGACGGCTGGGAAGATGAATTCGACCAGTGGCTGGATAGCGAAGGGCCCGACATGTATCCAGTTGGATGGTGTGTTATGGTTGGACACAAACTTGAAGCACCAAAAGTGGCCGTCGTTCAGAAAATCTCACCGAAGTCTGTTGCCAACAAAGGACGAAGGAAACGTGGCAAATATAATGGTACGTCATTCATTTATATGTTGAATTTTTAGATTATTAAATTTAAAATAACAAAATGACTAATTTTCTCTCATTTTCTTCCATAGTGCGAGGAAAAGGTTCAGCAGCAGTACCACGAAATGTGAAGAAAGAAATCGAATCAACGGAGCAACGGCAGAATGATTTCGATGAAAGTCTGAACGGTGATTCACTAACGACAAAAACCGAAACCACACAGCATGATTTCGATGGCGAAGAGGATGATGATGATGACTTCAGCCACGATGGATACAGTCATTCCATCAATTCACTACAGTCAGCATCGTTGCCACCAACACCTGAACCAAGAAATGAGACACCTACGCTTCACATAACCCGACCCTCGTCCAAATCTTCCTCATTTAGTATAGCCTCGCACAACAGTGGACCAGCGACAGCATCGCCACCACCAGAACGAAAGGCAACTAGCTATATAAATGTAATTTGATTTTTATTTCTCTCAATTCGAACTCCATTTCGGAAATTTAGTTCCAATTTTCACTCGTCTCTTCTTCTGTCCCACAGAATTCAACGGTGACATCAGGAAAACATATCCCATGCTTAATATCGGCACCACAATCGAATACATCACAAAACGGTGACGAATTCGCGCCCGACTCCTGGAACATTTTCGATGTTGGCCAATTTTTGCGAGTGAACGATTGTGCGGCCCATTGTGAAATATTCAGTCGAAATAAGGTCGATGGTAAACGACTGCTTGAAATATCCGACGATGAAATTTTCAAAATGCTCAATATGAAAGTTGGGCCAGCGCTCAAAGTTCAGGATTTAATTAAAAAACTTCGCGAGAAAATTGATAAAATGAAACCGTCAAGACATTCAACTGGCAAATCAAGCGTGGGCAAAAAATACTTATAGTGAACTATAAATGTTGAGTTGATCATCAGAAAAAATGTACAAAACAAAAATAAATGTTTCAAGTGTAACTTACATATTATGAATTCTAATATCCCATGCCCACCAAAAGTGGCGGGACTCATTCAGAAACAGACTCGATATTTGGGTATCGAAAGTAAAAAAAACTATTATAAATCGATATTTTGTGTGTGAAATAAACCTATTTTGATGAAAACAAACATAAACAAAAATGAAAGAGAGACAAAAAAACACTACAAAAGCGGATAACCAGTTTTATCTAACTGAAAAGTGCCATTTAGTGTTTGTTTTACTATGTACTTTGAACAATTGAAAAAAAAAGATAAAAAAATTTGCGTACGAGAGAGAAAAAAATACATTTTATGGAGTGATTTTGAGTGAAGAAAAAAAAATCCGGCGGTTACAAATGTGTGCATGGATTTAAACGGAAGCCGAGCAACATATGTTTCGAAACTGATTGCCGGCACATGAAGGATAGGAAGAGTGTATCAGCACGAATCTACAATGGATGCCTGCATCAATTGAATGTTCAACTCTCGCAAATCTACCAAATATATTGTATGTAATGAATCCAAGCAATAAGGATTATTATTATTATTGTTTTACTGAATCATACTTCTCTAGTGACACGGATAGTAACAAGCAATAAGAATAAAAAAAACCAATTAGATGAAAAGTTCGGTTTTTCTTTTGTTCCCTTTTTTCAAAAGGAAAAAAAGATCAAACATAAATTCAAATCGATTCAAAATGTAAATTGTGTTTAAATTTAACATTCGAGCAGGTACAGTACAATGCTTCAAAATGTATGTTTTGTCAAACTATAATTTTGTAAATTTCCAATCCGTTTCGGAACACACAGACCATCCATCATCTGCCACGTAATATCGAGTAACTTATTTTTCCCATTCGATCGAATTTCTAATCTATCAAAAATTCATTAATTGTCTTCGGAAATTGAAGTGAAAATTCACATGTTTGGAACTAGTTCGAAGTGAACACGTTCATTTTTCATTTGAACTCCCCTCTTTATGAAACAAATAATCGAAAATTTAAAACACCACTTGCTCCTACTTTGTACTCCTTTTAAATGTTCTGTCAGTGATGGTATTTGTCATTTGTCGCGTGTGTTTTTTTCTATGATTTTCCGTTTAAATTTCATTTCACCGTTTAATGTCATGAAATTCTGAACATATTTATTGGACTGTAACATGGATATATTTATATAAATGAATCGAAATGCATGATATTGCAAAATATGTGAACAGAAAACTAGAATAGCATTAAATAATTGAAGAAAAGAAGTTTACTTGATCTTATGCAATGTTGTTAGAGCCCAGAGAGAAACCCAAATATTTAAATAGACTAAATTAATAGAGCATTCAACCTGAGCAGGTAGAACTATAGCTGTCAATGCTGGAAACGTAAACATATGTGTGGGAGAGATAGGAGCATCCATCATGAATTGAAAACCGTGACCGAATTTTCTATTTCTTGTTGTTTGAAAACAATAGTTTTTCTTCTTCTAAGACTTAAAATTATATTCGATCGATTTGATTTATTTGACCCCGCCTGCCCGGTTGAAATATGTTGACATTTGGTCATCGTTTCAAATCAGTCACATGGCTGTAATTTTGCCGTGTGAAAATCACCATTCAAACATTAAATAATTAAAACGCAAACAGAATAAACCAGACGATGAAAGTGAAAAAAAAAATTGTATAGAAAAATGGATCAAATTGAATCACATTCGAAACCAAAATGTGTCTGATAAACGCCAGATCGGTTTGTTCTTGGAAATAATTTTACAGCAGAATAAAAAAAAGAAAAAAATACACATATTTAGTTGATCCATTTTGAATAATGAAAAGAAAACCTAAACTTAAACAAAACAAACATTAAATTGTAGAAAGCAAAAGAAGTTAGTTCGTAAGAAGCTGAAACCGAAAGCTGAAAAATAAATCAATTGAGAATAATCTTTATTGAAAATTCACGATTATATAATTTCATATAAAAATAAAAAAAACCAAACAAAACAAACAATTATTTGCACATGTTATTTTCTGCCCTTCAATAACAACTAAAAGTAAACGTACATCGGCGCACACATTCGACTTTGGAATCAATTGCATGTTTGCCTGAACAGCCGCTATTTATAGACGAAATTCAAATGAAATGGAATGCCTGTGACTTATTGTTGTTCCATTTAGAAGAGAAAAAAAGACTTGCCGTATCTCGGCCAATGGTAACTTTTGTGCGGTACAACTGTTCTGTCCAGTACGCGTTACGTTTTTGCTTGTATGTGTCAACGGCTGTTATCAACCACAAATGAAATTGAAAGAGCGCTCGCTCCAGCCACACCGTTCACATTCTCTATCAGTAACGTTTTAAATAGAAAATAATTCAGATCTTTGCCGAGTCTATTCAAAATGTGAGAAATGAACAAAAAATTATTTTCATATACAAACAGCAATAATATAATGAGCGACATCAAAAACAGCTGTACAAATAACATTTGAGCGATGCGATGAGTTTTTTGTTTCAGGTTTTTTTTCCCTTCTGTTTCAGTTTTGGCGTTGTGTACATGATTTGATGTGGTGGTCGCGCTCAAGTTTATGGAACGAAACAGAAAAAAAACACTCACATTAACATGCAAAGGGAAAAAAAGATTGGTTCGAACTGCTATTTGGATGTTGTGATATTCAATTTTACCGGTCGGTGTTTAAGGTGCGTACGAATGCGTCTGATATCGAACGAAACCAAAACAACAGCTTGGGTGACGCGACGGTTGAGAAAGTGAACGAGAGAAAATGTGAGCAGCAGCAGTATCAGCAGCACTCACAGACACAACATACTTAACATATCGTCAGTGAGCGTTGATAAATTTTATTTGTTACTCTCATCATCATCATCATCATCATCAACATCAACAACGTAGTCGTCGGTTACACGGTAATTCGAATGAAGCATGCTTCGTTCCACTCCGTCATCGTCATCCGCCGCGACACAATCGTCTAGTCTATGCAACGACTACGATGCTTGCGCGCGCGCTTACACTAGTAGAAAGAGACACCCAACACACACACACACGATGTGTGTACTCAATGCATACCCGGTATTTTGGTCGGAGAGGAAACCCAACATGACATAATGGCGTTATTTCTCTTTCTCTCTCTCTCTTTCTTTCTCTTTCGGTACGCTCGTTGCCGATGCACGTTTATTTCCAGTAAGATTCCAATTATATGTGCATTTTCTTTGTTTTTCTACTTTCGCGCTCATTTCCTTCGCCATTCTACCGTCGGCGCGCACGGAAACTCCTGTCGATTGAAGCAATGAAGCAAAACCAAATAAAATTTGCATTCACAATCGTTCTGAATGAATTCTTTTTCTTTTACTTCTATTTCTTTTTGTTATTTTTTTTTATCGTTGTTATTTCGCGCGACTCTGTATACATTGAGTTATTATTTTCAAATTGCATGAAATTTAGAATTTGAATAATTTTTACAAAGGAATTTTTCATTCATAACGTTATTGCATTTTAACCAACTAAATTGAAACGGCGGTAGTGTACTGGAATCAGAAAAAAATATCACGCGCCGAATTTCCGATTCATATTTCCATTGAATTAATTCTTTCAGCTTCATATTTTATCCGCATTCAATTAAAAATGTTTTCGCCAACGACGATGGCAACAAAAAAAATATGAACAGCAGAATCGAATGAAATACTGGTTTGGTTCATGCTGCTGCTGCTACGCTGCAAAAATGAATACAAATGCAAATACTTGGAAATTCCCATTCCGCATGCGAGAATGTGTTGAAACTCCAGTGTGTACTCTGATTCCATATCGTATGCCAGCCGAAACGGATAGAAAATTTACGAAAGAGAGAGAGAGAGAGAGAGAAAACTGCAGCATACTATATGGCAAAAAGATAGCGAGAGAAAAGAACAGCAGGGGCAAAAAGAAGATCAGCTCATAACAGAAGAGAACGAATGAATTGAACAATAAAAAAGTCTGTGAGAAATGTGAATTGCCTTGTGAAAGGTCTACCGCATGCAATCAAAACCGATTCAAAGACTCTGCTATAGCCCATAAGTGAAGCGTGTATGTGCAAGTAGGAGCGAAGTGACACTAGAAGCTCGAGGAGAAGGACGTAAGTAAGAAGAATGAAAAAGAATTAACGAAACGCATTGCGAGACGACTACGATGACTCGATTCGATTCATATGTGCAAAACAGCGGCAAAAATGTAGACATGAGGCAACAACAACAACAAAAACGGATGAAAAACCTTTTTCTTCTTATTGCGTTCTATGTTGAGACCAAGTCTTCAGAATGATTTGAGCAAGAAAAGCAAACAGCATAAATGTGTGTATGGGCAACATCAACCGCATAATCTTGAATCGCAAATGAACGAATATGAATAAGAAAAAAAGAGAGAAAAAAAACTCCAAAACCGAAAGAGTGAAAAAAAAGAAGAATCAAATTCATTCGGCATCCCCAGTTCGTAACTACCGCGTGTTTCGTGCACATCGTAAAAACTGAACAATAAACTGAATATTTCAAAACTGAATTTGTGCAGTGGTAGAACGCATCATACTACAATATTTACACCATAGAGAGTGTCTTTACGAGCGTACTCACTACACTAAAATACATTCATGCGCCGCTCGTACATATTTCTCAGCAGAGTATATATGCCTCTATGCTAACCAGAATGAAACAAAAACAACAACAAAATGTTTATGTGGAAAAAGAAGAGCGAGAAAAAACATGCAACATACGAAGAAAAAGAAGAAGTGAACACAAAAAAAACAGCATACACTGAGCGAGAGAAGTCATCGTCGTCGTCGTCGCCGCCAACAACAATTCTACGGCAAAGAGTTCGTTTGCATCGACAACTGCGACGACAAACTGTAGGCGTGGTATCCAAATTCAGCTGGTTCGCTACACATACACAGCCAGAGTAAGTATGAGAGAGAAAGAGCCAACATCCCGGGTCGTATAGCTCTCTATGTCTATACATGCTGCACTATATATATCAAATATGTGTAGTATACATATATATATATATATATAAAACGTTTAGCGGTGTCGAATCGTATCAACGGAAAAATCCAAAGATAAAACCCAGAGAAATTGCACCGAATCGAGTACTCTTTTAAAGTCATAACTAGTAATAAAAATGATTATTTGTCTTCATTGATAAAACATCAGAAATTGGAAAAAATTTCGCCATAGATATTTGCGTGCACACAATATTGAATGAGGAATGAATTGGTGTAGCCACCACCGCCAATGCTGAAATTCCATGTGTTAATGTCTAGATATAACCATATCGATATAAATATAAATACAACGCGGTTCTCATGCGCCTGTGTACTCCACACTCGGTTTGTATAAAATTCCATGGTGTTCAAATTTAGGCGCGCACACCATTCACATACATGCCGGCTCATTCTCTCACTCTCTCTCCTGCATTTGTCGTCTCAGTCATGCGTCGGTCTCGCAAAGTGTGTACAGTTCACTCGCATTACGATTCTGACGAAGAAATAACAAAGGCAGCAACGAACACATTCAGTTTCAGAATGATGAGCCGCATACTCATACCACTCAGCGTCATGTGTCTAGAAAGTAGCAAAGCAGCAATATTTCTGTATATTCTTCTCTGCTGATTCT